ACGTCGTATGTGCGCGCAGGGCTATTATTCCATTTAACCTAACATCGGCGTTACAAGGGGCTTGTATAGGCGCGTCGGGAATAGATAATCCAATGCAATCGGCTAAAATGTATTCGCGCGTCACGAGGAATACAATTACGGATTCACGTCAGTCAGCCATTCGCGAGGCGTGTTCATCGTGCGAGCTTATAAACGCACGGGAGGCTTACAGACTCACGCTACGTTTGCCGATTTATCGAAATCAAGGATCCATCCATCGGTTCACAACCTCATTACCGAACAAAGTGAGAAAATAGCGAAGCTAAGAATAGCAGGGACGCCGCGATGCGAATAATACATCGCGAACGATAAGTATATTGTCCCGCGAGACGCATTCACACACGTACGTCGGTGTATTTAATTGATTAAATTAAAGTTGACGTGTCTCTCCACATACCTCGCGCTCACGTTCTACATCGAATAGAGGTAATCCTATATCGCTGGTTACAATGGTGGCACTCGGTGAGATGCTGGCAACGCGTCGCCGAGGCATCGTCATCAACAGCGTACGCGCTGCCACCTTGAGTTAAGCCGACACGAACAAACGTGCGTGCGTGCGTGCGTGCGTATATGTATTTGCGTGTGCGTGTGTGTGCAATGCGTGCCAGTTGCATAAATCCCGTCGGGATGATATACGGTCTCGGAGGGAGCTTCCAACTATTTGCCGGACAAGTCCGTCCTGTGCACGTCGCACGCACGTACTCCTTCGGCTGGCCGCTACTATGCGACTGTAAACTGGCATGCCAGCTTTTAGGGGCGGCTTCATATATCTCGCTTTACCGCCTGTCCGGCAAGAAATATAAATTCCGCATCCTAAATAAATATACGGCGCCGTATATAAATTCGCGTTTAGTCTTCGCGTTATTTTGTATCTCATCCGCGAGCGATTCGATCGGGTATCAATGATTTATTCAGCTACGTGGATTCGGTCCAGGTCCGCGTTCTGTATCTCGCGTTCGATGTAATCGAACGTGGAAATGCTTTATCGAATATAAAGTCCCGCGTGTTATCGTAAATATCAAACCAATGACAATTCGTGACATAAGAGAAGAATTACGTAACGATGATAAATATCCTATTTTCGAAATATCATGTTATTTCGAATGCTACACATATTGCCTCTTTGTATTAAATTATCATCTAATGGTGTAATAGAGATGCTGTCAAAAATGCAAACACACACATGTGTGTCAGAAGCGGTAAGTAGATAAAAAATATATATATATTTAAGATCGATTTAAAGGGGTAGAAAGTACGATTTAATTTTACGCGTCGACTATTTATTCCTCTCTCTACGTCAGTTGTAGTAAACGATTTCCAAAAAATGATATGCTGTACAATGAAAAACAATAATATATTTACGCGAGCGCAACTTGTTTCTCGTGAAAATGCGACGTGTCTTATTTATCCACTCGGCTCTTCGACTATCTGTCCGACAGGAAATGGCGAATTGTTCCAAAAGACGGTCGGTGAACGAAGTTTCGAGCTTTGTCGACAGAAGCAACGTAGGAAATAGATGTTGGTCCGCGCAAAGAGCAGGAAAAGACAGTGAAAAGGGGAAACAGTCGGAGGAACATTAACGGCAGACGCGATTTCAAACTCAAACGCGCGATCGTTTTATTTCCTCACCCCGGCGTCCTCTTTTTGCCGCCGGTGTCTCTTCTTTTTCCCGCCCCGAGACGATCGGTCTCGTTAGCTTCACTCTGCCCGGTTGTGCTGCTTTCGACGAGACTTTCGCAACTATGAGGCCATTTACATACAAATGCCCGTTAGCAATGGACATTCCCGCGAGCTCTTCTCGACATCGGTAACATCGTATCGTTCCGCCTCTCTTTTCCTTCTCTTCTCACTGATTTTGTCGTCCTCTTTTCCAACATTCGCCTCGTTTCGCTTACAAAAGCTCCGGCAATTAAGCAGGTATCACGTTTAAACGCTTCCGTTTTTTGAAGGAGAGAGAAAAAGAATGAAAGAGCTTTTACTTTCGCTTCCCCTTGAAAGTCTCACCGATAAAGACAAACTGTCGTAAAAAGAATTACGTTGTTGATTGAATGATAGAGTGAAATAGCGAATCAAATTTTAATAGATTGAAATATGCAAAGAACACTTGGCAGAATGCTTAATATTAAGACTAAGCTACCAAAACTGACGTTAATAATAACAAAGATATACTTTGCTATGGAAAAAGTAACAAGATTAAAGTATTTTCTTTGCTCCGAAGAAAAGTGCATTAATATTGAAATGTCACTTATTGAATTCAAATTATTTAAAATTATTGATTACTTTCTCCTCTCGAAGCTTAATATTTCTGGGTTTTTAATTTAATTTAATTTTTTTCAAATAGCAATGTACATATTTTTATTTTATTACAAGGTAATAGTTTGTCAGTGAAATTTCCCGGCTCTTTTGACTTTTATTATTATATATATAAGTGATCATATTGACTTGAATATAGATTTTACTACCCTAACTATTTATTTTACAGATAAATAATTATAGAAAACGTGAGAGGAGGCAAAAAGGAGGAAAAACGATGAATCGATATTGATACTGGATTTATGAGTTGTCTAGAATCACATATCACTCTTCGCGGCCTTTTGCGCGAATGGGCCCGCGAATAAGTCGGCCCCGTGCACGATCTGACCCGGTCATTTTTCATCGGGTTCTCTCGAACCCGAGCGTCCGCGGCACGAAATCGGGCCGTCACAACTATCGCCGCCGACTGGCTCTCGATAAGACGTAAAGGCAACGTTTTCCATCAGTCTTGCGCGGAATACGAGCGCGAAATGCTGGATAAGGGTGAGAGCGAAGAGTGAGAAAACCAGAAAGGTGAAAGGTGAGAGAAAAGCAAAATTGCGAATGCCCGCCGTGAAGCAGCTAGTGTAGCCGAGTGTGGGTGAATGTCGGAGCAATACGTGCTCCCACCGAATGTTTCGACTTAGCTATACAATTTGATGGAAACGGAAGGAAATGTTGCGCCCTCGCGCTCGCTTCTGCTTGCCTGTCGTCCCATATGGCTGTACGATGAAGGCGCGAGACGGCGAGCGGGTACGAAACAGCGTACGTAGTTACAAGGTATGTGAAACATATCGACAGACGCGCGGCACGGGGTGAGAAATCGTGTAGGAACGACGTAAGGAAAATTGCGATTTCTTAAATGAGATCTCGCCTGCCTCACGCGAACCGTCGTTTTTCTTTGACGTTTTATTCGTAGGTCTATACGCTGTGCAAAATCTGTTCAAAGTAAATGAGCTACGTTAACCGGGAGTCGTTATTAAGAGGCAGCGATTTCTAACTAGATGAATTAAAAAGTATTGGAAAAGTAATTTTCATATATACCGCGATATAATAAAGGCATACGTATTACGCGTACCAAACGGTAATGGTTCTCTTATATATTTCTATAATATTATGCACAGTGAATTATAAGTTTCTTTAACCGAACGTCACAATGATTCCCGCGTATACGAATTATTTGATAAAAATATTAAGAATAGAGGCAGCAAGATGTGAAATATCGAGGATTTATATCCATGCTTTTAAAAGAGATTAACAGTCACGCGCGATAAATGCCATAAGACGCTCATCTCGCGCCTTTTTAACGTGATTAAAAATCTCCCTTCCAGCTTCTTCGAAGCGCAAATTAAATCATAGAACGAATTTCTCGCGGTTTTTCGCGCTGTTGCTCGACGCTTAGGTTATCAGTCAGAAACTCCGATATTCGACGAAACCCTCGAAAGGCAGCTTCGCTCGTCGCGGAAGCTGCTCCCATTAAAGAGATGAGATTTCACCAAAGACTATGCGTTTCCTCCTTCTCTCCCTTTTCTCCTTCTCTTTCTGCCTCGCACTCTGCTCCACGCTGGAAAAACCCTTTATGCCCGCGATTCTGTTCTGTTCTGTGTGCGTCGCGCGCGCAATCTTTCTCGCGTCCCTTTTTACCTGTCCCCTTTTTATCTCGCCGACGAGAAAGCCGCGAGCGGGATTAAATACCCGCGTTAATCCGATTCGCTGTAAATGTTTTCGAGCGCGACCATCTCCGTCTCTTCCCGTTCTCCATTTCCCTCCCTTTCTCTCGCTTTTTCGAGCGTTCCTTCCTATCTCTTTTACTCTCATCGTATTTTTTTGTCGAGAGGCTTTCTCGTCGTGAGCTTGCAGACGCTTCGCACACGGGGCTTACATTTACGGGTGTGTATGCGTGCGATTTGAAGCTCCACGTAGCAGAGGCTTGCACGATAACGTCATCGCAAGAGGAGAAGAGGAATAAGTTCACATGTTGAAAATGTCTGCTCTCTCACATATTATTGCTTTCCTTTTCTCCCTCCCTCCTTCTCCCTTCTTTCTCTCTCTTTTCTTCCCTCTTCGCTCTATAATCTCTGTCGTCGTGCTAAATTTATTCATAGCCCGCCTAACCCTGTTATGGTGTATTTTACTTACCGCGAGGGCGGAAGCCGAGCAAACGGAATCCTAGGTCTCCGACGCTTTTCTAAATACACGATATATCGATGGCGCTTCACAAAAAGTACTAAGTTCATCCCGGAAAAAATTTAATTAAAAAAAATATCTCTTTTGGAAAATATCTCTAAATTTAAATAATCATTAAGAAAAGTTGTGACTATTTAGTTTAATTTAGAAACATTTCAAAAACTGAAATAAAATTTAATAATTTTCTAAAGAATGATTTTCTAAAATTTTTAAAAATGAGAATAGTATATTTCTTTTTTAAATTACTTTTATGCTTTGGATCTTTCCATGTTACATCAAGGAAACATCATTTTATTTTATAAATTGATAATCTCGCATCCGATCTTTAGCTTTTGACTGGAATGTGTATTCAAGGCGCGTATCTAAAGTCTTTTCACTATAAAAGTTCTAATCAGTCAAACTCGTGTACGTTTTGAAGTGCTTGAATCGCAACTTGCCTGTATTCAATTGAAACCAAGGGAATCATGAATAACTTTACTCACCGTGGAGCTAACTCCCGATGACGTCACTGCATCCAATTCACGTCGAACGTAATCCCTGCAACACACACAATGAAAGCGAACGTTAGTCGGAACATCGGAAATAGAAACGACGACGATGAAGTCGAGTGGACTACCATGAGAATAAAGTACGGTCAATTCTGCTAGACTGCACGATGCACGCACGTGACTAAACAAGACCGATAGATTCGACAAAAATAAAAGAGTTGCTTGCAATATGTATATCATTCGAGAACGAAAAACTAAAACAGAATTTAATTTACATTTTCGTCCATGCAACTCTTTCAATTTCATAATAACAATGGATAACAACTACTCGCGTCGCTTAAATATTTTTCGCATCTTCTTCATCTTCTATCATATTATATAACTTCGTTTGTAAATATTTTCTAAATCGAAACAGCGATCGAGATGACAGACAATAATTTAATTCTTAATAGAGATGTAAGAAAATGAGAGGAAGCAATTACTCAAGATTACATTATGATAACTACACTTGTATATATGCATGCATTTAATAACACGTTTATAATTCAACGCATTTACATTGCTATCATAATAAACATTTCAATAATCGTCGGTGTCCATAATGATAAGCTCAACTATCAATGACCATTGATGTGTATAATACCTGGCAAACTCGACTACCGTCAACGATTATTAGCGTCCGCAATACCTGGCAAATTCAATTATCACATCTCCATTAGATGCGGATTACGCGGAATCGAAAGTTTCAGGTTTATACAAACGTGCAATTCCGCGAATGTAGTTAGCTTCAACCGAATCAGCTTTCATGTTCCATATATCTCTCTCTCTCTCTCTCTTTCTCCCGATTATCCAAAGAGCAAAGTATCTTCCGTGGTATATATATTCCGTAAACCAGGACATACACCGGATGTCGACCTACGACGAGATGCGGAGATCTCGTCGTCGTCGTCGCCGTCGTCATCCTCGCGAGAATGACGGCCGTGACACGTCCTGCCGTTTACACGCGTCTACATATGTATGCCAGCGCTGCGATTTGCGCGATAACGTAAACTCGCTTGTCAAAGGACCTGCCGAGCGTAACTGCAGGAACGAGGAGAAGAGAGAGGGGGGGAAAAAAGAAAGAGAGAGAGAGAGCACAGGGGCGAAACGAGAGAAAAAAGGAGGGCGAGGGGAAAGAAATACATCCGTGTACGATCGTTACATATGTAAACGCGACGCGTGCAACAGTATATATGTATATCGTTCATCGTATACATATACGTAGGTACGTATGCGGAACAGTCCGTGTCAGGCCGTATACTCGCTGCAACGGACATGTATTATTCAGGCTGACACTTGTGCAATGCCTAGCGTGAGGGTGGATTCCGTCCTCTTCCCTCTCTCGATTATCCTCCCGCCCTCCCTTCATCGTGTCCCATCCTTCGTCGGACTTGGGGCTGGCCTTGCGGCGAAATAAAAATGCGACAGGACGGGAAACCGCGACGCTATCCCGCTGTCGTCCTCGGGAAAGACATCGTCGAGACGGCGACGAGGATGACGACAATGGCGCGCGCTTGATGCGCGAGAAGGAAATGTTATTTCTTTAGGACACTAAGTGACAGCCCGAGGGACGTTCGGAGGTATTTGCGCCCTGAACGCTACCATCGTAGTCGGGATGTCCACCGGGATGTCTGTCGGGGTGCGTCGCGACGCGTTCTGAACAGCAGCCTTTACAAAGTGTAAAAATTTTGTAAACTTTCATTGGTATATATGTTATTAATCATTGCTCCTTAGTAATTAAATGCATTCCTGAAATATTGATTGAGACAGAGTCGTTGATAATTTGCTAAAATAAAATGAAATTAATTTTGATGAAGCAATAGTTTAAAGTTTAAATTTTTCAGCGATGTAATTGGCTTCATTTAAATGTGAAAAAACGACATTTGATCACAAATTTTTTTATAAAGAAAAGCCGATCCCCGATACGCCAAAGAAATATAAAACGTCCTGCAATCTCACTATTCTTTCGAGAAGGACTATAGATGAAGCAATAAGTTTCTCTTGGAAAACGCTTGACGTGCAATTCCCGATATAATTCCGAATGTATCCGGTTTCCGTACCTCCCGTGGTCATTACTTTCTTTCGCGCAAGAAACAATATTCTTCCACTACCGGCCATTATTTGCATTGAGTAGACGTTTAAGTGTGCCGGTAGAAAAATGGTGGTAGAGAAGAGACAGGGCAAGAGAGGGCGGAAGCATTAGTGGTATTGCCATACTATTACTCGCGCCCCTTCTAATAGCCAGCCCATTAAAGATAATGAACGTAAATTATGCGTAACGGACCGCGGTTAAAAAGGTCACTTATATCTACCGCGAAGGCAGAGCTATTCTAAATTGGCTGTACAGCATTCGCGATACGTGACAATATTTCGACCGATATACATTCGACATAGATTTAAAATTGAGAACTACTAAATTGAGAGATATCTATTCACAATAGTGACCGCCGCGTGTCTCAAATTTTTTCCAACAATTTTTATTGTCTATTAAGTTCATTTTATCCGCACAAAAAAATGGGAGATTATACTCTGTAGCTTATTAATATTCAAGAATATATCTCTCGTGATAATTATATTTCGAATGCAAAAATTCTAAAGAAATATTATCCACATATGAATATTACAGATCATTAATATAATGCTTCATTAATAACTTCCACGATTTGATTTCGCCATTACTAGTGTTTGATTAATGGAGCACATATGTGAATAATCGAATTAAATCGCGATTTAATAAGCGAATATGAAGATATTCATTTATTTTCATTGAAAATTTCGATCCATCCCGTCGCAATTGTGCTTTATGATATCTTACTTATGATATCTCAAAACAATTGTATGAAATATACAAATGTAAAGTTAATAATCGGCAGTTATTATTAATATAGTTTATATATATCACAAGAATATATTACATTACACATCATATCGATATTATATATTACAAATGGTGAAACAAGCTAGTTTTTCGCGTTACGATGTTTTGCTGTCTCTACGCGAATCTGTTATCGTTCACTCGTGGCTTCCGACGAATTTCCAATCGCCAGGGAGCAGACAGATGGGCGTAGAAACGAGGTCACACAGATGAAATATTTCTTCCACGCCTCATTTACTGCGAGGCAAATTCGATGCTCGCGATCCACTTGTATCCCCGTTTCGAGCAAGTCAACTTTGCGCCATATCGGCCTCTTAACCAACGGTTCGCGGATTAAAGCGGATTTCCGCGACTTTGCGATAGTATCGCTTCGAATAAGCTCTCGATCCTTCCTTTGTCTGCTTCCGATCTTCCCGAGAGAAAGCGAGAAAGAAAGTTACGCGATAAGATCGCCCAGAATTCCACCCTTCGGTATTCGTGCGACCACTCGTCCTTCCTTTACATCCCTTCTCGTGGCCCTCTTTATCTCCTCGGCTCTTGATTCCCTTTCTGTACTTCTGCTATCTAATGTTTATGAACGAGGAGACACTTCTTAAGCGCAACTTTCAAGATTTATTCCTGTCATCAGGTTGCGCCTTCGTCGAGCGATAAAGATGAACTTTTACAAAATGATCGAAACAATCTGTAACGATGGAGCAGCATGACTGCTTCCATCTTGACAACCGGGTGCACCCGATATACAGTCGAATGCGTTAATTCGCTAGAGCTAGAGACGAATTAAAGGAGGCGCAATAATTCGTCTATTGCGCTGGACCATTTAATCCTTTCAGACTCTGAGTCTCGATTTACGAAAAAGAATATTTGAATTCGTGAATAGTTCCCAAGCGATTATCCAGATAATTCAATCTAATTTAAAACACTTTGCGTATTATTCGCTGCTTAATGTCACGAATAATGCCGTTGAAAGCAACAAATTTCACGGAAGAAATGACGAATCTATCGCGCTATTCGCGTGTAAAAAATTCGATTGCGTATCGTTACACTGTCGTATCGTGCGTTTCGTTTCACGCATATGTGAAATTCGAGATCGGACGAACTTCAGCCGATTTTATTCAGATCGAATATAAATGCTACATCATCAATGTACAACGATCCGCGAGTTCGCACGTTGTTACGAATGATCGCGTCGCGATTTTATAAAATCGGGAATTCTGGAAACGCGTCTCGAGGGATACGATCGGACGACGCAACCATCTCGTTGACGACCTCCATTTAACAGAGTTTGGTAAGAAAGTCGGATAGCTCGACATGGCGAGGTAATATTCAGCGAAAGGAAACGCGCGCGCGCAAAGCGTAATTAAAACCGGCTGCTGTTTACTCCGGCGGTAATGAAGGAGCAAACACAGTTTGTTTCTGTTGCGGGATATCTACCGTCACCGTCGTCGTCGTTGCCGTTATCCATGTTTAGACGATACCGCGAGTAACGTGTATCACCCACCATCGCATCGTTCCCTGCAACGGACTTAGCTGGCAATTTCGCGTGCGACTTCCCGACAGTCCCATTGGGACGGTAACGTTTTCGCGAAACTTTGTAGCCGTTGCGATTACTTGGCGTTAACGCTTTAAGCCTTTGCACCTATATATTTCGACCATATGCAAAGTTTGACATTGTGCCAACGATAGTTCGCCCTTCGCACAGATGGGAAATTCTCATCGATTACATGTCAAAAGATTCATTTATCGAGCAAATTAACTTTCCGAGATTTTTTCTCAGATTTTCTAATATACATTATTGAACATTATTATGATGCAATAAATTAGCAAAATTTTTAATTCTCTGGATTACGTGTGTGTTTGTAATTAATTTTATGTAATTTTAAAACTTTGCTTTGTGTAAAAAAAAAATTCGAAAACTTGTAAAACATGTGGAGAACAAAGATTTTAGCTTCTCGACATAAATAAGAATTTTTACCCACGATAGATTTTTTTAAATCATATCTAATTTTAATGAATGTCTAATTGCCGTATTAATTTTCGCCTAAGATCCAACGCTTATGCATGTTCAATGTTAAAAGCGAAGCACGTATACAAATGTTCATTTATGTATATATATGCAAAAAGGCCAGAGATATTCT